TTCAGAGCAACAAGGAAGATGGCGAATGGGCGTTTTGGGTTTTGTTGACTCTTACTTATGGATTCTTTTTTTTTAGTGTAATCTTTCATCGCTTCTACTTTTAATCTTCGATATCAGTGCGGAGAATTTGCGCTCGGGATTTTCTTGAAAAGTGCATCTGCAGCACATCATTTGCAATAAGATTGGACCTATTTGGAATTCTTTATTTACAGATTATAGAAATTATGTTTTCTTAATGATAATCGCCTCATTTTCCTCTGAATGAATGCCCGCGAGCCATCCAGTTAAACATTCTTAATACGGCACTTTGCTTGGGCGTCTTAGAAATATTGGGATCTGAGTGAGCCTTGTTTCTGTTCTCATGGAAAATTGCATGCTTATCCTTTGAGTGACTGTGCTTCTCTTCCGACTCGTCAACCTGCAACAGAAACATGAACCAGTGTACCGGTGGAACTTTTCTGCGTTGGTTTTACAGCAAGAACATTTTTTTACAAGATTAAGAAGATCCAATTTTTTTCTGCTCAAAAAATACTATTAAATGCTATTTAAGTAACAGAATTGGTGAACAAGTACGCCAAAGATTGTTGCCAACCCCAAAAAAAGTTTCTGTATCAAAAAATCATCAAAATTTTACAAAATATTTGATGTAACCAAGTGCCTACCTCAGCTAATCGCTTCATGATAGTGAACCCGTTTTGGATTCGGTCAAATACTAACTCGTCTTCGTTCACTGCTTCGTTGCTGAGTTCGGAAATTTTTCGGAGCTTATGTGTCTTTTGCAATTTCTTATTGTAATGGCGCAGTCGTCGCTCCCTCATTAGCTCCAAACGCGTCTTCTGTACAAGTGACGTCTCGACTGCGTCATCTGCAAAAGTTTATTAGTTTGGCGAGCTCAAAAATGAAAGATTAAAGATGTGTACAAAGAGAATAATGAAGGGTTATTAATTACTAAAAGGGAATAAGTTTGTGGAGAAAAAAGCTTGCGCATGCTTTCATTGGTAAGATTAACATTATGTCAATCCTGCTAAGAATAGAATCTCCAAAGTGACGCAAGTCTTTGACGACATACAGCTATTTAAGATGACAGGGCTTGTGGCAAAGGTTTAAGTCTGGTCAGCTACCCCAAGAAGAAACCGATAATAGTCGGTACAGGTTTTACAATGAGATGTACATCAATCATATATCTTGGAACGATGTTTTCAAATCTCTATTCCAT